TTTTCCAAATGTGCACTAAAATCTGCAAATGTATGGATCAATCTGTGAGCACACACAGACACACTTATATCTGAAGTGTTTTCGCTTCAAGACCCAGAAATACAGACAAATCATTGTTTACTTCTGTCGTATGAGATCTGGAAATGCATTGAGAGGATTCGTATGTGCAATATCTGGATCTTGGTACAAATTTGCAAAGCTTTGTTCATATTTGTAGATCTGAATACAGATTTGTGGATTTTTTACAGGTTTGCAAACCGGATTACACACAAGTAGTTTTACACATTTGCAGATTGTTGTACAGACAAATTTCCAGATTTTTAAAACATTTTCAAATCCTGCTGCGCACACAAAATCAAGACACTGGCATGAAACTCTCTACACACGTGCTAATTATATAGCTACAATATTGCTCCTATAATCAGCCGTCTGCAGCAGTTAAAGGCTGCTGAGCCTTTCTAACCATTTAAATCAGACGTGCTGTAAACGATGCCGATGCAAGTGAAAAAAAGCAAATATTGGCTAAAGTTATCTGCTGCCTTCTGTGTTGCTCTATCTCTGCTGTGATGTGAGACTGAGTCGGCGGAAAGGAACTGGGTTGTAATTGGAATGTGAACATTTTCCAGGCTGGTCCATGGATGTCGTGGAGTTGTGTAATAGGTATCGAAACGAAGGGGTGGTGGCCATCGACCTGGCAGGTGACGAGTCCCTGGACTGTTGTGCCTACCCAGAACACAAGCAGGCCTACGAGGTGAGCACCGTCTTATAATTGGGATTTTAAATCACGGATCCATCATTCATCTTTTTTTGCTTGTGTAGCAGCGACTCTGTGACATCAACAGCATCAGAAACAAACATAACAGCGATTTAACTTTAAGAAACTAGCAGTGCTGCTTAGGGGAGTTTTTATAAATTATCCCACAGACAGCTTAACTATGTACGACGGAGTACTAGGGCCAGGCTTGACATTTTTTTTTCATTTCATTTCGAGATTAAAGTCGTACCTTAATGAGAATGAAGTCCGAAAATTAGAAGAAAATCATAACATTATGAGATTAAAGTTGAAAAATAACGAGAATTAAATCATCATGCCACAACCCGTTTCAGACAGAAATCTTCGAGCTCCAACCAGCTTCACCAATCAGCAACCTGAGTCCACTTTGACATCCCGCCCAGTTTGATTTCCTTGTTTTTCAAACCGATGCCAAATATATAACTTTGTATATATATGTATAACTTCACATGATGCTCCACGTTCCTCATTTTAGGGGAGAAAGTGCATCTTCTAAGAGTTGTCATAAAATACAACCCTATTGTAATGTAATGACTTTTTTCTCGTAATACAGTGTTACGACTTTATTCTCGTAAATTTACGACTTTATTCTCGTAATATTGCGACTTTATTCTCATAATTTCATAACTTTTTTCTCATAATACAGTATTACGACTTTATTCTCGTAAATTTACGACTTTATTCTCGTAATGTTACGACTTTATTCTCGTAATGTTA